ATATAACTAAAGAGAAGAGACAGTCATTTGCTAATGTGCAGAGGTCCTCCCCTTAGATTCTACTCAAACATTGATGGGGATGTGTATTGAAAGGCTTTTTGGGCCCTAATTGGTTTGGCTCAGTGGATAGAGTGCCGGCCTGTGGACTCAAGGGTCCCAGGTTCGATTCTGGTCAAGGGCATGTACCTTGGTTGCAGGCATATACTGAGTGAGGAGTGTGTGGGAGGCAGCTGATCGATGTCTCTCATCGATGTTTCTGGCTCTCTATCCTTCTCCCTTCCTCTCTGTAAAAAATCAGTTAGAAATATATTTTAAAAAAGAAAGGCTTTCTTGGAATCTTGTTGACATTTTGAGAGAGAACAACTCTTGCCTCCAAACAGAAGGTAAGCCCTCTCTTCTTTGACACTCCATATCTAAGCAGGGCGGCTTCATTTTCCTCAGATGAATTCTGATGTCATTTGGGATTCTTGATCATCACAAGAGCAGGCCTCTCTAAGAGTTTGGCTTATCCTTCCCTCTGACACACTTGAAAGTGGTTCTTTTCTTTTTTAAAAAAATCTTTATTGTTGAAAGTATTACATATGTCCCCTTTTTTTCTCCCATTGATTGCTTATAGACCACCCCTGCCCCAGGTCTTCACCACTCTGTTGTCTGTGCCCATGGGCTATGCATATATGCACACAAGTTCATTGGTTGATCTCTTCCCCACTCCCCAACCCCCACCTTTCCTCTGAGATACAGCAGTTTGTTCCATGATGTCTCTGTATCTATTTTATTCAACAGTTTATTTTGTTTATTAAATTCCACATATGAGTTGAGATCATGTGATACTTTGTCTTTTTCTGACTGGCTTATTTCGCTTACCATAATATTCTCCAGATCCCTCTTTGCTGTCATAGTATTCTATGGTGTAAATATACCACAGCGTTTTTATTCACTTGTCTACTGATGTCCACTTGAGCTGTTTCCAGATCTTAGAATTGTGTTGCTTTGAACATTGAGGTGCATGTATTCCTTCTTATTGGTATTTCAGATTTCTTAGGATATATTCCTAGAAGTGGATTCACTGGGTCAAATGGCAGTTCCATATTTAATTATTTTGAGGAAACTTCATACTGTTTTCTATAATGGCTACACCAGTCTGCAGTCCCACCTAGGTTTCCCTCTTCTCCACATCCTAACCAACACTTGTCATTTGTTGATTTGTTGATGATAGCCATTTTGACAGGTGTGAGGTGATAGCTTGTTGTCACTTTAATTTGAATCTTTTTAAAAAAAATATATTTTATTGATTTTGTACAGAGAGGAAGGGAGAGAGATAGAGCGTTAGAAACATCGATGAGAGAGAGTCATCAATCAGCTGCTTCTTGCACACCCCCTACTGGGGATATGCCCGCAAACAAGGTACATGCCCTTGACTGGAATTGAACCTGGGACCCTAATTTGCATCTTTTTGATGATCAGTGATGTTGAGCATTTTTTCTTTTTAAAAAAAATATATTTTATTGATTTTTTCAGAGAGGAACAGAGAGGGATAGAGAGTTAGAAACATCGATGAGAGAGAATCATCGATCAGCTGCCTCTTGCACACTCCCTACTGGGGATGTGCCCACAACAAAGGTACATGCCCTTACCGGAATCGAACCCAGGACCTTTCAGTCCGCAGGGTGATGCTCTTTCCACTGAGCCAAACCGGTTTCAGTGACATTGAGCATTTTTTCATGTTTCTTGGCCATCTGTATGGCCACTTTGGAAAAGTTGTCTATTTAGGTCCTTTGCCCATTTTTTAATTGGGCTGTTTACTAGGTGTATCGGTTAATAATGCAGATTTTTTTCAATAGATGGAGTTACACATATGTTGATATATATGTGATTTGATATGTATCCTATTTTGATGTATTGACAACAAGCTTCAAAACTTCATATGTCAAATTTGCTGAAGATATTAACATCATAGGTATTTTTTACGCTTAAAATGTCGAATTTTGTGCCAAAAAAGTTATAATTTATTACTTTATTTTGAAGAAAAGTGCTGCTGAATACTTCAGGAAGCTTATGGTGAACATGCTCTATCTCATGATACTTGTGAACGCTGGTTTAAATGCTCTAAAAGTGATGATTTTTATTTGAAAGACAAAAAACGTCTAGGTCAACCGAAAAAGTTTGAAGACCAACATTACAAGCATTATTGGATGCAAATGCATGTCAAACTCACAAACTACTTGCAGAAAGATTAGACATTGTTCAGCAAACAATTTCTGATCATGTACAAGCAATGGGAAAGATTTTAAAGGAAGAAAAACGGGAGTCACATTAACTGAACGAAAGGCAAATGGAAAACTGAAAAGTCATCAGTAAAATGTTGCTTCAGTGGCATGAAAGAGTCTTTTTTGCATCAAATTGTGACTGGCAATGAAAAAGGGATTTACTTTGAGAATCCCGAATGCACAAAATCATAGGGTGATCCAGTCAACCATCAACATCGACTGCAAGGCCAAATTGTTTTTGGAAAGAAGACAATGCTTTGCGTTTGGTGGGATCAGGAAGGTGTGGTGTATTATGAGCATCTAAAACCAAGTGAATCATTAATACTGATCACTACCAACAACAAATAATCAATTTGAACCATGCTTTGTTCATGAAATGACCAGAATGTTCCAGAAGACACAGCAAAGTAATTTTGCTTCATGATGACGCACCATCACACACTTCGAAACCAGTTAAAGATCCATTAAAAGATCTTGCCTGGGAAGCGTTAACCCGCCCCTGTATTCACCAGGCCTTGCTCCTTCAGATCACCACTTGTTCTGATTCTGAAAGATGGGGAAATGTGTAGTTAGCAATGGACATTATCTTGAATAAAGCACTTTCACTGTTTCTTTTGAAATGATTGTGTTTTCTTTTATTACAAAATATGCTATTATTAACTGGTACACCTTGTATCTTCCTTTTGTTAAGTTGTGTGAGTTCCTTATATAGTTGGATGTTAACCCTTTATCAGATGTATCATTGCCAAATATATTCTGCCATACAGTGGGCTCCCTTTTCATTTTGTTGATGGTTTCTTTTGCTGTGCAGAAGCTTTTTTATTTTGATGTAGTCCCATTTGTTTATTTTCTCCTTCGTTTCCTTTGCCTTAGGAGATGTATCCACAAACATATTGCTATAGGAAATGTCTGAGATTTTTCTGCTTATGGTTTTTTTTTCTAGGATTTTTATGGCTTCCCGTCTTACATTTAAGTCTTTTACTCATTTTGAGTTTATTCTTGTGTATGGTATAAGTTGGTGGTCTTCTCTCTCTCTCTCTCTCTCTCTCTCTCTCTCTCTCTCTCTCTCTCTCTTGCATATATCTGTCCAATTTTCCCAACACCATTTATTGAAGAGACTGTCTTGCCTCCTTTGTTAAATATTAGTTGAGCATAATGGCTTGGGTTGATTTCTGGGGTCTCTATTCTATTCTATTGATCTGTATGTCTGTTCTTGTGGCAGTGCCAGGCTGTCTTGATTACAGTGGCATTGTAGTATAACTTGATATCTGGTATTGTGATCCCTCCATCTTTGTTCTTCTTTCTCAAGATTGCTTTGTTCTTCTTTCTCAAAATTACAGTGTCTTTGTATTATAACTTGATACCTGATGTTGTGATCCTTCTAACTTTGTTCTTTTCCAGGCTATTTGGGGTCTTTATTGGTTGCATATGAATTTTTGGAGTATTTTTTTCTAGTTCTGTGAAATATACCATTGGTAATTTAATAGGACTTGCATTGAATCTGTAGTTTGCTTTGGGTAGTATGGACATTTTAATGACGTTAATTCTACCAATCCATGAACATTGCCTTTTAAGAGGTTGCCTGCATTTTCAGTTGTCTTCCCTGGCAGATAGCAACCTTGCTGTTTTTCCCAGCCAGATGTTATGTGGGTATCGTTTCAGTTCTGGTGCTCTGTGTTGTAGAGCCTGGATTGGGCTTTACACTCCAGAGTTCTCAGTGGGAATTCCTCTACCCCACTGCTGAGATATCCCTCTGAAACTTCAGCTGCTGTCTGTGGGAGCCCAGCTGGCCCTTTTGTGCCTCCGTACTTCCTACCAGTCTCTATGCATCTCCACTTTCTGTTCTTGGTTATCAGGGTTCTCTCCAGCTAGTCTTCATTTGATTATTCAGGCTGGTTTTTCTATACTTTAGTTGTAATTCCAGTTTGGTCCCGGGAGTATGTCAGTGTAGCATCCACTTATTCTGCCATTATTTTGGAATCTCTGAAAGTTGTTATTTTCTTTAATTGAATTTATTGGGGTGACATTGGTTAAAGTCATACAGATCACACTTGACAGTTTTTAAAGTGAAGAGTTGTAATAAAGAGCATCTACTATAGAATGCTGGCTTGAATCCACATCTGATGAAAGGCTTTTAATAAATATAATAATTTATACTTGCTGTATCATCTGAAGGAAATGTTGGTCTAGCTGTGTTGTGTGTTTAAGTGTTCTGTATTCTTCACTGGGTCATTAGAATCTTTCGTGGGTGGGGAATCTTCTATTTATTTTAGTCAGTGCTTCCACTAAATGCTGTTGACTAGATAGAGGAATGTATTATATAAAAATTTATTCTGTCTGTAACAAAAGTAGGATCCCCCATAACTGTAAGTCATAGTAGCTGCTTTGTTAGGCCCTGTGGATTAGGGTATTTGTTACAAGTTCTTGTTCATATCTGCTCAATAGATATCTTGGAATTAACATTTCAGACCTCTTCCTCTAGTGCATTTGTTGGAGGAGGCTTTAAGATTAATCAGAGAGAAGAAAGAGCTGTTGTTCTTTCCTCACTCCCACTCCTACTCCCTCTCCCCTTCCCCATGATCATTTTTTACAATAAATACGGAGAAGACAAAGCATGAGAAGTTTGTTGAGATTGTTCTGGTGTTTTTATAAGAGAAGCTGATGCTTAATATTTCCATCTGTAATTGTCTTTACTGGTAGCTATTCATTCTGTTTTTTATTCTTTCTTTTCAGCTGTTTGAGAACTTCTACTTTGGTACCTTAAAGCTCAATTCAATCCACATCTCTCAGCGGTTCTCCGTAGACAGCTTTGGAAACTACGCTTCCTGTGGACAAATTGACTTCTCCTGAGGTGGATCTTGGGAAACCCTAGAAATGGAACATCTTTACAAGGTGCTGAGGGAAAATGTCTTCATTTTAATTGCCAACGAGGGATGTGGACTTGTGGATGGTGACTTTCCTGGGTGGTTCCCCATGGGCTCCATGGTATCTCTGATGGCTGTCCACAGTCATCACACTGTTGGCCATGGTGATTGTGGGCACCTGGAGAACTGTGCATGTAACCCTTGGCTTTTGCAGGCTCTTCTTTTCTTCCCAAAGCTCTTCTGTAGAAATGTACCTCGGAAGCCCGTTGGAGCTCAGATTTGCATTATTTCTTATATACTGATTTTGCCCCAGCCATTAAAGTCATTTGTATTAATACTTCAACAGAGAATTAAAGACATGTGGTTTATCCATCTAGATAAATACCTATAATTTTTGGAAAGTTGGTGTGTTTTTTTTTTCCCTTCCCCTTGTACCCTAAATTTGTGTGTGTGTGATAAAAACAAGCATTTACTGAACACCTGTTATGGGCCAGGCATTGTGCTAAGTGTATACATATTATTATTATACTTACTAGTAAAATTAATATTATCATCAATGACAACACTATGAGGGAGCTACTAATATAATACAGTCCCTGTTTTACATATGAGGAAATTGAGGATGGATTCCTAGCTGAAGGTCATATAACCAGGCAGTGGAAGTGTCAGGATCTGAACCCAGCCAGCCTGCACTTTTTAACACTGTGCTAAGCTGTGTGGCCCTTAGCAGGGCTAGAGAGAGAACAAGGAAGATGCCTGGCAGACCAGGATGGAAAGAACAGCGGTTATGGCTATTCCACTATCCCAGGACCAAGCAGGAGGAGGACCACTTTGGATGCAGGACTCAGGATGTTTTGCAAAACTGGATTAGTTAGGAGTGCTCGCTTGTACCCTAATTTAAAAAAATTTTTAATTGATTTTCAGAGAGGGAGGAGGGGAAAGGAAAAAACACATTAATTGGTTGCCTCCCATATGCACCTCAACTGAGGATCAAACCTGCAGCCTAGGTATGTGCCCTGACCAGAATCAAACCCTAGACATCCTGGTACACCAGAAGACACTCCAACCAACTGAGCCACACCGGCCAGGGCTGTACACTAATTTTAATCACTACCCAGAATTTCTTTTTTATTGTGGTAAAACACGTAACATAAAACTTACCATCCTAACCATTTTTAAGTGTACATTTCAGTAGTATTAAATAAATACTTCATGTTGTTGTGAAACATCTCCAGAACTTCCTCACCTTGCAAATCTGAAACTCTGTATCTATTAAACAACTCTATTTCTCTCTCTCCTTTGACCCTGCAACCACCCCTTTGCTTCCTGTTTCTATGAACTTGACAGCAGTAGGTACCTCATAAAAGTGGAGTCATTCAGTCTTTTTGTCTTTTTGTGACTGGCTTATTCCATGTTGGTTCATCCATGTTGTAGCATGTGACAGGATTTCCTTTCTTTTTAAGGCCAGATAATATTCCATTGTATTACTTACCACATTTTGTTTATTTATCCATCAATGGACACTTGAGTTCCTTGACCTCTTGGCATTTGTGAATAGTACTTTATGAATATGAGTATACAAGCATGTCTTTGAGACCCTGCTTTCAATTCCTTACTACTAAAGAATTTTATCTTTAGAAAAATAACTGTTACAACTTGCACCTTTTACTTTGATCTCTCCTTTTTCTTCTGAGGCTGGTACTGTTTTATATTTGTTAGATTCCTATCCCGCACCTTCCCCTGCCCTTCGCCTTCCCCTGCCCTTCGCCTTCCCCTGCCGCTGATGCAGTTACAGCATTGTAGCCCTTCTATGTTTACTTCTCAGGGCAGCAGCAAGAGGAACAATGCTATCAGCAGGGCTGTGCAGAGATCCCTGGGAAAATGTCGGCTGCAGAAGGTGCTGGGCAGTCCTTGCCTGCAGAGCCAGAGGGAGGAAACTCAGCACAGCTCTGCCCCACCCATCAGTCCTGCCCCTGCTCTGATGTCAGGGAGCTCCAGCCTGGCTCTCACCTTCCATCTCTTCCTCCCCCCCTTTCTCTGCCCATGTCCTCTCTCTCCTTCATTCCTTATTCTTCTCTTGCTGCTTACTTTTCTGTTTAAGTTTAATTCTGGGCCCTGTGTATCAAGGGCACTACATAGGGAGGGTTGTGTATTATATAACACAGATTCGTTTATCACTGTGACTGCACAGGCCATTTCTGAATAAATGAATTTCCAAAGTAACTGCTTTTTTATATTTTCATATGACTTGGTAGTTTGATCCCCTTTGTGTATGTTTGAAATACAGTGTTGCTATCATTTATTCACTGGCAAAGCTGTGCCATTAATTCAGAACTTACATGCTGGTGCCTATAGGATTGATTTCCCCCCAAAAGAAATTTTGTCCTAGTAATAATCATTTTTAAGTTGGGATTTTTACCTTGCTTGCCCCAGGGTGTTGGATGGCAGGTGGGAATGAGTACTCCCAGGAAGAGTAGTGAATGGGTTCAATGCCCTCATCTCCTCTGGTTTCTTTCTGACAGCTTCCGCTGGGCAACCTTGCAAGAGGTAAAGATGCCTTCTTTTGGATGTCAGAGATTTATAACTTACATTTTCAAAACACTTTAAAAATACATCTTTATTGTTGAAAGTAATACAGATGCCCCCTTCTCCCCTCCATTTTTAAAAAACAGGTTTTTATTAATTTTTAGAGAGAGGGGGAAAGAGACAAACATCCATGTGAGAGCAGAACATTGATCAACTACCAGGGATTTAGCCCACAACCTGGGTGTGTTCCTTGGCCAGGAATCGGATTAGCAACATGGTACAACCCACTGAGCAACACCAGCCAGGGATGCAGCTGGTTTCTGAGACACTGACTTCACCCCAGGTTCCTGGAAGAGGAAGAGGGAAAATGAATTTCTCCCCACTTGATGCTGTTAGAAATAACGTGAGCCCCCAAAACAGGGATCCAAAGCATATTCTGGAGCCAGACAACAGGGCAGTATCTTCACTCCTGCAGGAGGGTGCAGCACACATCGAGTCTGACACAGGTCATCTGTCCCTCACTCCCGATTGGTCAGAGCTTAGGCTCACAGTTTTGCGTGATTGGCTAATTTAAAGGAAAAAGGGAGGAGCTGACCTTTGCTGTTTCAAAATGGTGGCCCCCCGTGGGAGCTGTAAGTCACATGAGCCAAAATGGCAGCTGCCTACACTCCCTCCTTTGCCAGAAAAGATTGTGTTTCTCACAGTGCCTTGGGGTGTGGATGTCCAAGCCCAGGATGCCAGAGGTGAGAGAAGGGCTGTTGGTGTGGTTGTTAGTAGCTTTTCCTGTTGTTTTTTAATCAAATGTTCTTTTAAACAAATATAAAATAAGTTAACTTTGTGAAAGATCATCAAGCTATGCCTACTTTATACTTTTTAAAATGTATGTTATACTTTAAATATTTGTCAGTAAATAAATTTCATCATTCAGAGGTTACTCCTCCCCATTCATTTAAGCACATCATATTGTTAAGCAGTTTTTCAGAAACAATAACAGCGAATATTAGCGGGACGCTCTCACTTGTGTTTGTGTAGAACTCAGCCTTCACAGTGGCCCACGTCATTTGGCAGGATCATCCTCCTCAGTTCACAAATGGAAGTTAAACTCGCCAGAGGTCATCCAGTTGCACCAGTGGTTCTTGAAGTGTGGTCTGTGGGTTCCTGGACGCCCCCAGAACCTGCTTTTGGGGGGTGGGGTGAGGTCCACCCTATTGTCACAAACTAGAAAGGCATGGTTTGCCCTGTCTTAGCGTTCTCCCGGGAGTGTGCTGGGTCCCCAGGCTGCGCCCGCTCACCTTGAGTAATGTGTGCGCATGTGTTGCTGTCTCCAGGGAGGCACGGGGCACAAATACATGTTTTTAGAGTTTGCCACGGTTTGCTTTCTACTTGTACGAGCTCTTACCAGCCTCTGTGGTTCAGCTGCCACTTACCATGCGCTGGACCGTGTCCCCGAGAAGTTGCATGCGGAAGCCCTGCCCCCTCGGCCTCACAGGTGACTGTAGGAGAGAAGGCTTCACAGAGGCAAGTAGTTCCAGGGGCCAAGGCTGCGGGGGGGGCCCGACCCGCCTGGCTGGCGTCCTTTCAGGGGAGGCCCATTGGACACATGAACCTCAGGTCTGTGCACAGAAGGCGAAGGTGGCCGTCGCAGACCAGGAGGAGGAGCCTCAGTACCACCAGCCCTATCAACCCTCGAATGTGGGGCTTGCAGCCAAATAAACCTATTGTGTAAGCCGCCCTGTCTGGCATTTTGTGCGGGCCCGGCCCTGCCACACTTGCTATAATGCAGAAGCCAACCTACCTGTGGTGCTTCGAGCAGGACATGGAAGAGATTTGCAAAAATGTAAGACAATGCCACTCTTCTCACTGATTTTTTTAGGGAAAGAGATAGTTCTTCATCAAATACATTGTTTTGTTAATATGCAATGGGTTCATTCTTATTTTTAAATACATTAATTTTTTTTTTGTTTAAAAAAACTGATTTAATACTTTTAGAGCAGCTTTAGGTTCACAGAGGAAAGCTAAGTTTCATTTTATTTATTTATTTATTTAATTAATTTATTTATTTAAATATATTTTATTGATTTTGTACAGAGAGGAAGGGAGAGAGATAGTTAGAAACATCGATGAGAGAGCGTCATCGATCAGCTGCCTCTTGCACACCCCCTACTGGGGATATGCCCACAACCGAGGTACATGCCTTTGACTGGAATCGAACCCGGGACCTTTCAGTCCTCAAGCCGACGCTCTATCCATTGAGCCAAACCGGTTTCGGCTAAGTTTCATTTTAAAGTTCAGCAAATTAGAGCTACCTCTGAATCTCACAGAAACAGAGTTCTTTGGGTCCTCGGTGAGCTGAGTGCACGGGACCCCGGAGGCCTCACCGTCTGAGAACTGCTGCGCTGCACTGTCCTTGCCTCGAGGGATGACATCACACGTGATCTGTGATGAGCTTTCCTCACCCCGAGGTTGGTGGGGGATCACATCCGTGGTCATTAGATTCATGTCTGTGTCATTTATCTTCAGTGGCTGCACAGCAGTCCATTGTGTGTGTTCACAGGCAGCTCATGTGACGGTCAGTGAGCTGGTGTCCGGGTTTGGCTATTGAAACAATTCTGTGGCACAGATTGAGCACTTGTCTCCTATGCTTGGGAGGTCATCTAGAAATGGGATTTAAATGATTTTGAAGATGTGATTAAAGTGTTTTTATTTGGAACATAAGGTTTCTCCATTTTGTTTTACTCAATTATGAAATACAAACAGAACAATGCATAAAACATATGCATCCTTTGACAGACACACCCAGCAGCTTTTGGGCCCATTGGTTTGAAAGGCTGATCTGCTAGAAGTTGTCTCAGAGATTAGGAAAACTGTTTATTCATTATAAGCTACTAGAGGCCCAGTGCACAAAATTCATTCACTGGGGAGAAAGGGTTCCCTCTCACCAGCCGTGGGCCTGGCTCCTGGCTGACCAGCACTCCCCCTGTGGGATCAAGCCGAAACTCCCCAACATCCCCTGAGGGGTCCCGAATTGTGAGAGGGTGCAGGCCAGGCTGAGGGACTCCACAGGTGCATGATGGGATGGGAGAGAGACATTGGAGGTTGGCTGCCTGGGGGAGGGCTCCAGGATGTGTCCAGCCCCTCTAGCTCAGTCCCCCTCCACAGGATCCCAGCAGCAAGCTAACCTACTGGTCGGAGCGTCTGCCTTCTGGTGGTCAATGCACATCATAGCGATTGGTTGACCTGTTGACTATCTGCCCCTTGATGGTCAGTGCAAGCGGTTAGCAACTTTAGTATATCATTAGCATATTAAGCTTTGATTGGTTGAACGGCTGACTGGTTGACCAGACATTTAGCATATTAGGCTTTTATTATAGAGGATCATTATTGCCCATTTTCTACAACCCTTTTACCTGTCAGGTGTTGGTTTAACTAACAGTCTTCGACTGTTGGTTATTTGCTTTCAGCACGGGGCTGATACGGACCCAGCTTTCAGGTGCTACTGAAGTCAAGTCCCATCGGAGGAGCTGCCCAGGAGTGTGGGAAACATTTTGACCTTCAAAGGTCTGGAAACAGCTATTGTCTTATTGATGGGCATCTTGTCAATGCCTTTCCACTCTCATTTTGGGAAACTTTGGTGATTGTCGGCCAGGGACTTCGTAAGATAGTGTTGGCATGAGAGCGCTATGATCTCGAGGACCTACCGCCCCATTGCCTGGAGGCATGTGACGCGCTTTGCTAACCAGACTAGGACTGAGATGGTGGGAAAGGATGGCAACTTTGAGCACATCTCCAGAACCATGGGGCCTCAGAGCTTTCTCTTCCCACCTCAGGGAAGAACTGGCATTTTTTAGATGCCCACTGTGCCCAGGCATAGTGCGTAATTTTGCACAGGTTTCACAGCAGCCTTCTGAGATGGTGGCATTATCGTTAATTTATAGACTGAAAATAAGTTAGGTAATTTGCCCAGAATCCTGATTCCACTCCCAGTCTACATGACAATACACTGTGTTCTTCCTCTTCACACTGCTGCTACACAAACCAGCAAAGCTGCTTTATTTACTGGGACACGGAGACATCAGTGGCCATGGCCTCATCGCAGCACCACCTCTGAGTCCAACTGCAGGGGACAAAGAAAGCGCGGAAAGGGAGCTATTGTTCAGTTTTCCCGAGGGAACCCCGGCCCAAGCCCTCGAGGCTTTCAGAATTCCCAGGCCAGACTCAGTGACTGTGAACCTTACAAACTGTGTTTTTTCCTACTGATTAGGATCATGTTTTTCATTGCCTTTGATTTTTTTTTTTAAAGACCTCATCAGCCAAGTTTGTTATTTTGTGTGTGTGTGTGTGTGTGTGTGGTGTGTGTGTGTGTGTGTTTTAATAAAAACACAATCCAGGGCTCGGGTCCCAAATTTTCAATGTTTTGTCCTGTCAGATAATCTGTTTCCTCTTCAATTTATTTGTAATATAAACCTCACCTCATTTATGCTCTGATGCTGGGACTGTGCCCAGCCTTCCCAGCTGGTATGTCAACACATTTCTACAGGCAACGATAAGGGCCATAATTTTAACAAAAACCTAAACACTTCAAACAAAAGTAGCCCCCTCCACCCCCCACCCCCCGCCTTCCTGGCTCCCCTTCCCCAGTGGCTTATTAAAATCAACTTGAAGTCAAAACCGTGAGCAAATGTGCAGCTCGAGGCAGATGCACGGCCAGACGTTTGCCTTTCCGGGTTGCCCTAGGAAGAAAGCTAACAAAAGGGGGGACAGCCCTCGGACAGCTGCGTGGGGAGGAGGACATCTGCCTTTGCTCTCCCGCTATTCAGGGCCGGGCCTGGCCTTGAAAAGAGCATGTGGGGCTGGGGAGCCGGGGTCCGGAGGCAGCCAGCTGTTATAGGGCTTTTGTCTCCACGAAGCCACCCATTACTGCAGGGCCCTGACTCGCAGGAAGCCAGCTGTCAGGGCTGTGGCTCAGGCCCCCGCGGTGGGAGGCGAGGGAGAGCAAGTGTCGGTGGCCACATTTCCTTTTAGACACCTGAGCCCGGCTGGCTGGGTCCCCGGAGAGTTCTGTCTTCTCCTTCCACTTCCATAGTCCCTAGGGGCCCCTCCCGCTCGCCACCCCGGGGGAGGGAAGACAGCAGGTTGGGATCCTGGGTTTGCAGCAGCAGCAGCAGCAGCAGCTCCCCGAATGCTGGGCTGGGCTCTGCGGCGGACGCCCAGGCTGGGGCGCTCTGATCTAGCGCTTCCTTTTGAAATCTACCCCCTCCATTTTTTTTTTTTTTTTTGAGGCAGGTATGATGATGTCAAACGTGATGCTGCTGCCACAGTCGCAGACGCGGCCCCTGCTGGCGCAGCCTCGCTGACTCGCCTCCTCTCCGCGGCCAGCGCCGGCTCCTCCAGGCAAGTGCATCGCCGAGCCGGTCCCATCGCAGCCGGACCGCGGCCTCCGGAGCCGACCCGGCGGGGGCAGCGCCCAGGAGCCGGCAGCGCCGCCGCGGAGGTGGAGGACCCGCACTGCGGCAGCGGACCCGGTGCACCGGCCACCATGCGCGCCCCGGGCTGCGGGCGCCTGGCGCTGCCGCTGCTGCTCCTCGCGGCGGCCGCCTGGGCCCAGAGCGACGCCAAGGGGCTCCGGGAGGGCGAGACCCCCGGCAACTTCATGGAGGACGAGCAATGGCTGTCGTCCATCTCGCAGTACAGCGGCAAGATCAAGGACTGGAACCGCTTCCGAGACGTAAGCCTGCGGGGCGGCCTCGGGGGCCGAGGGCCGGGCTGGGGCGCGGGGTGGGGTGGGGTGGGGGCAGCTGGGGAGCCGGGACCCCGCGCGGCCCGAGGCCCCGCAGCCCCGCCGGCTCGCGGCGGCTCCCGGTAAACAAGGGGCCCCGCCGGGCTCGGCCCGTCGCCGCCCGCACCGCCGGGAGCCCCGTTCTGGGTCCTCCTGGCCCGAGGGGTCTCCCCGCAGGCCGGGCGCCGACAGGGATGCAGGATGCAGGGTGTGGGCTGCAGGGCATCCCCGTCCTTTTATTTATTTGCATTTTTGTGTATTTATTTCTGAGCCGCCCGGCTCGCACCCAACACCCAGCACCCAGCACCCAGCACCCAGCACCCAGCCACCGGTGCTGCAGGCTCCGCACCCGGCGCTGCGGAGGGACCGGTCTGGGCGGGGCTGGAGGGGAAGGTGGCTTCGCCCGCCGGCACGTGTGCCCGTTCTCTCCTCGGGCTTTGGGGGAGGGGGCCCGCGGGGAAAGGGCTGGGGCTTTGGGTTTGGGGGCGGAGGGTCCTCGATCCTAAGGCGGGGTGGTCAGAGGCGGGTCTGGATGGGGGAGGGGGCCCCGGGCGACGGCGGCGGAGATGCCCGCGGCCACCCCGGGCCTCCCGAGCCCGCGCCTGTGAGCGCACACGGTCCGGTCTCCCGGCCTGGCCCTGCCGGGGAGCCCAGCCCCGAGCCGGGGAGCCCAGCCCCGAGCCGGGGAGAAGACTCCCGTCGCCCCGGATGCGGGAGGCAGAGGCGGCGGCCCGAGCGGGCGGGGCCCGGAGCCGGCCTCACCTCGGGCGGCACCGGGCGCGGCGGGGGCTGCGGCCCGGCCGCCCTGCGGCGCGGTGTTTACCGGCACCTGTGGCTCCGGGGGAGGCGGCGGGGTCCCGGGGGAAAGGGGGAGCGGAGCGGGCGCAGAGGGCGTGGCTGCGCCCCGGGAGGGCGGGGGTGGGAGTGAGAAGGGGAGGAGGGGCCGGGATGCGCCGCGGAAACACGACTGGTCCCAGCGACCTGGTGCTCTCCGATGCCCGTTCCCGGAAGAAACCTTTTCTGCGACCTCAGCTCTGGCTCCTCGGTCCCCAGGTGCCCTCCTCGCACCCCCCAGGGCAGCACCAGCCGCCCCGCGGCCGTTCTCCTCTCCTCTTAAGTCGCACGCACCCAGCAGTCCTCCCCAGACGTGCTGGAGACACGCAGGCTTCCTGTGAACGGCAGCCAGGGGATGGAAGAGGCTGGAGATAAGGATCTTTTTGTTGCTGGGAGAGGAGGGACCGTGTCTCCCCAACGTCATGGCGGGCTGAAATGCATCAGAAGGAGCCGCTTGCGGGCCGTCCTCTGGACAGCGGCCTGGTCTTAGAATCTAGGACCCTCCAGCCCTACCCGGGGCAGGTGCAGCCACGCACCGGGGAGCTCTGGCCAGGCCTCTTCCTCCGCCCCTGCAGGCCGGGCACAGACTAGCTGGTCTTTGCCGCCTGGGCAGCAGGCCGGTCACAGACGCAGGGAGGGGCTGAGGGGTGGGGTTGGGGGTGGGGGGAGCGGCAGGCTGGTCCATCCCAGCCCAAACCCATGTGTCACTGGTCCAGGCCTCCCTCAGACTCACTGGCTGTTTGATCTTCCAAAAAAAAAACACCCAAACACGGTACTGGTGAAGGTCAGAAGGAAAAGAAGTCCTTCATCAGAACATAAAAGGTTTAAAAATAAAAGACGCCCCGCTCCCTTCCTCCACCTGCTTCCCGTAGCCCACTCTGTGGGTGAGGATAAAGATTGGCTGCTTGATCCCCGGCACAGGGCTGCCCACCTGTCCCCCTGGATCGGTGCCAAATGCTCCCCCCTTCCTCCCATGCTCATCGGGAGAAAGGCACCGGGTTTGGAATTCTGCAGGGCCTGCCCCATGGGATTCATGGGAAGCCGCGGGGCCTGTGTCGGTTGGGGTGGCCTGAGGCTTTTTAGGGCAGGTTTCCTCTAAAAGCCCCAGGAAAGGGGAGCTCTGGCTGCAGGACAGGGTCAGGGAAGGCTGTGGAGAAGGTTCCGGTGCTGGGATCTGCTGGCGGCTTTTGCAGAAAGGCAGGATGCTGCCAGTTCAGAGGCACTGCATTGCATAACTTTAGGGGTGCCCTGGTGTGAAGGGCGCTGCCTGGAATTGTGCCGCACACGGACTGTGTCCAGAGGGCTGTGCCAGCACCACAGACACCCTCCTCTGTTAGCAGAGGTCCTGCTTCCCACCCGAGGGGCGGGAGGCCCTCTGAAAATATGCGCTGTCCCTGCACGGGGACAGAGGCGTTTCCTTTGAACCTTGAACGTGCTGTCAAGTTGAGCCAGAACCTTGTTCACCATCAATCACAAAATAGCACGGGGTCCCTTGGTGGAAGGGAGGTGAGCAGGAGAACGGGATATTCTTAGGACGTAGGATGGGGGTGTCCATAGTGAGGGTGGGGGACACGTCTCATTAAATGGCATTGACTGAGTCGAGGGGGAAGGTGGAGGGAATCGTGTCTCAGGGGTCAGGGGAAGAAGAAAAGGAGGAAAGCTTGGAGCTGTGCCCACGAGGAATTGGTCAGCTGGCAGGGCGAGTCCAGCTTAGCCTTTTTCTCTGAGCACTAGAGGGTAATGAGGGCAGGGTTTACCGGGGAGCACCCTCCCCTACAGGGGGCACAGGGCTTTCCTGTCCTGGCCTCGGGCAGACCTCTGCCAACACCCAGGAGGAGAGAGTGCCAGGCCAGAGGAGCAGGCAATGCTGGGCTTCAGCTGTGCCTGGCCCTGGGCGGGCCCGGGCTTCCCAGAGCCCTGAGGCCAGTGCCCCCTCCCGGACTCACTGACAGGGCGGGGCTGTCCTGCAGGCCTTTGGAACCAGCACCCAGGGCCTGAGACAGAGATGGACAGCTGCGAGGGGACAGGCCCATTACCCAGCATCCTCCCCGCGGCTCCCGGCGCCTGGGGAGGCAGCACTCACCGGCTGTTTCTTCTCTTCCTGGCTCTTCTCTGCTTTGCACTCTGTTTCCATGAAAATTTAATGGCATTGAGGAGTGTCCAGCACTGTGCTTGGCACCCAGGAGGCACCCGGGAGGCACCGGGAATGTGTTGAACCACTGATTGCCATGAGTGCTCGCATCTGCCGTTCCCTGCGGGAAGCACTGGGCGTAGCCCCTCGGTGCCCCGGGCAGTCTGTGAGGTCCTTAGGGTTACTGTATGGCCCACTCGTTTCATGGCTGAAGAAATGGAGGCACAGAGAAGTGAAGGAATGACTGAGGGTCAAAGAGCTAGTGTGCGGCACCGCTGGCATTTGAACCCGGTTGTCTAATACAGCTTTGCTTTTCAGGGAATTCTAGGCTTACCCGTTAGTGGCAAGGGGAAGGAAGGACCTACCCTGAAGAGCAACGTCTAGCCTGGCTTATGCTCTGCGAGTCTCAAGGATGACTGGGCGGGAGCAGCCCCGCCTACGAAGTGGGCCAGCGCCCCAGCTGCTCCCGGCCTGGGCAGGAGACCCCCAGGAGAGGCGGGAGCGCGGGGCTGGAGGCCTGGGTTCAGGTTATGGCTCTGCCACGTGATGCCAGGCACATCCCATCACCCCTCTGAGCTTCAGTGTTAGGCAAGGAGTCGGGAATGGATGCATAACCACGAAGACCCCCATTCGGGCAATAAGTACTCTGTAGCCCCACCGAGCAGCCACCAGCAGGCTCAGCATTGCCAGGCAGCCAGCCATGCCCTGGGGAGCAGGCCAGTGCTGCTTACGTCTTGCACAGTAAGGAGCACCGGTAGTTCATCTCCATGAAAAGAGGCTGATGTACATTCACTAACTCACCCATTCACTGCAGACTTCGCCCCTCCCAGGGAAGCTTCGCCTGCCGGCCACACAGGACTCCCACGTCCCTGTGCTCACCAGCGGGCCAGCAGCAAGTTTCAGCCACCCAGGTGCTTCCTATGACCGCCCTGCCCCCACACCTTAGCCGGGCCGGTGTGGGGATGAGCCGCACAGATGCTGGTGGGTCAGTGTGGGATGCGAGAAGAACCCCAAACTGGGTCAGGATGGATTCCATAATTGGGGTTCTCCCCTCACCTCTCCCTCTGCCCTGGCTTTGAGTCCTCTCTCACACAAGAGCGGTGTCACCATGGAGAGGGACTGGAGCACCCAGCAGGGCTCCGAGCCTTGGGAGGAGGGAGAGCAGAGCCCCCTGCCTCGAGAGGATGTCATGTGCTCCTCTCATCTCCCAGCTCCTCTGGCAGGACAGCTGACACCACCCACCCGTCTCTGGGCATCTCCGGGCGGTTGGCTGTCTGCAGGGGTGGAGAGCTCTATCCTACCCCGAGCCCCAGGGGCCCCGGGAGAGCGCTCAGCTTGTCTTCTGGGTGAGAGGAGAGACGAATCGTGTGGCCCTGGGGGAGCCACCTCACATCTTTGGCCCCTGATTTCCCCATTGGTTTAATGAGCAGGCTAACCAGAGCCACCCACCACGACCCCGTCACTGAGATGCCAGGAAGGCGGCACTGGAACCCGGGAACAACTCCTTCCCCCGCAGACACAACCCACACCCACCACCCAACACCCAACACCCACTCCCACCCCCCACCCTCCACCCCCCACCACCCAATACCCACCCCCCAACACCCACCCCCCACTCCCCACCTCCACCACCCAACACCCAACACCCACCCCCCACCCCAACACCCAACACCCACCACCCACTCCTCACCCCCCACCACCCCCCACCCAACACCCACCCTCCACCCCCCACTCCCCACCCCCCAACACCCAACACCCACCCCCCACTCCCCACCCCCCACTCCCCATCATCCCCTCCCCACCCCCGACCATCCACCACCCACCACCCCAACCTGGCCACCAGCTGGGCAGCACGTCTGGAGGTTTCGGGGAGGGATTTCCCTTTTGCTCTTGAGGAAATATTTGTGACCAGATCAGGGTAGGGGTGGCTCAGCCAGAGATGGAGAAACCTAAGAAGGGGGGCGTGATGGCATCTGGGGGGACA